CTCTCCCAGCAATTGAGGCAGGCTTGCAACTATGGTCCAGTCTTCCTGGCCCTTGTTTCTACTCTCCTTGGGTATTAGTCTTTCACTATATTTTTTAATATTCCAAACATGAGTGCAATCATTTACTTTTCTTAATTTTTTAAATTTTATTTTCATCAGGTTGTTCACATTAATTGATTACATTCAATATTTCAACACCAATCCCACCACCATTACACCTTCCCACCATCATTATTTCACATTTTCCCACCACTACTCAAGCCTGCCTGCCACAGGCAGATGCTAGATAATTTATTTTCTATTTTCTATTGCTCATTATGAATATAATGAGAGGTCACACAGCTGCTTTTGCAGCTGCATTCTCCTGGAATTCTAAAACTGTAAATAATTGGGATCTGGAGACATCTATATAGGGACTAAATCCATTCTGAGATTCATTTGTGACTCTCTAGGTGAAGGCAGTTGATATACTTAACTGGGTCCTGGAGACAGTTTATAGGCATGACAGTCAAGGAATACAGGAAGAGAGACGAGGAGGGACTGTCCGTCCCTTGTCACCATGTGGCCTGGAGTGTTCAGTCCCTGGTCCCATGTACGGGGGTTTTTATTTAAGAATTTTGTGCCCACCAGGGTTTCATTTGGAGCAAACAGAGAGAAGGCACCTGCTCCATCTGAGATCCCTGAGTCAAATCTGCTCGGTATGGGGTCCTGAGAAATCTTGGGCGAGCTACTGTCTTCTAATTGCTGAGTCTGAGTGTAATAATTTGATGTCTGTCTCTCTCCTTCTGACTCACTTCACTCAGCATGATACTGTTCATGTTCATCTATAGATAAGCGAAGTTTATGAATTTGTTTTCCCTTATAGCTGCATAGTATTTCATTGTGTAGGTGTGCCATTGTTTCTTTATCCTGTCGTCTCTTCTTGGGCACTTGGGTTGTTTCCAGTTTCTTGCTATTCTGAGTAGAGCTGTGAACATAGAAGTGCAGTTGGCATTTCTACTGTGTGCTTTTGGGCCCTTGGGATATATTCCCGGAAGTGGTATTGCTGGCATCATATGGAAGCTCTATTCTATTTTTTTGAGGAATACCCATATTGTTTTCCATAAAGGTTCGGACAGTTGGCATTCCCACCAACAGTGAATGAGAGTCCCTTTCTCCCTGCATCCACTTTGGCATTGGTCTTGTTCTTTTTGATGTGTGCCAGTCTCTGGCTTTCCATAGATTTGTATTTTATTTTCTTATCAATGTAAACATTGATTATTATGTCTTATTATTTTGAATACCTTTCTGTTTACTTTTATAAGAACTTTCATATTAATTTATAGTTTTATGTTAGTAAACAACATTTTATCAGTTTTAGTTAAAACATTTTTTGTATTAATTTTGTTTTAAAGATTTTATGGTATGTTGGGTGCATAGATATTTTTGTTAGTCATCAGATTATCACTCTAATTTTTTCTAATTTGCAGTCTCTGCCCCCGCGCCTCGGTGTTCCTTCCCGGAGTCCCTTGGAGGGGAGCGGGTTGAGCTTTCCTCCCCGCCCCGGCCAGGGCTGCGGCAGCCGGAGACCTCCAGGACCAGCCACCACCATGCTGAGACCACTCTCCGCACACCTGAAGGTACTGGCAGAGGGACAAAGCCACGCGGGTTCCGGGGCCGAGACCTCCAAGCCTACTCGAATTGGAGTCGAGCATCTTCCACCCAGATCCTCCAAATTCCAGTAGGCGGGGGTCACACCCACCACCTGGCCCCCTGGCGCCGTGTAATCCCATCAGCGGCCAAGACTCAGAGACTATAAAATCCAGATCCCGGACGAGAGCAGTGCAGTCTCGGCCCCGCGCCTCGGTGTTCCTTCCCGGAGTCCCTTGGAGGGGAGCGGGTTGAGCTTTCCTCCCCGCCCCGGCCAGGGCTACGGCAGCCGGAGACCTCCAGGACCAGCCACCACCATGCTGAGACCACTCTCCGCACACCTGAAGGTACTGGCAGAGGGACAAAGCCACGCGGGTTCCGGGGCCGAGACCTCCAAGCCTACTCGAATTGGAGACGAGCATCTTCCACCCAGATCCTCCAAATTCCAGTAGGCGGGGTTCACACCCACCACCTGGCCCCCTGGCGCCATGTAATCCCATCAGCGGCCAAGACTCAGAGACTATAAAATCCAGATCCCGGACGAGAGCAGTGCAGTCTCTGCCCCTGCGCCTCAGTGTTCCTTCCCGGAGTCCCTTGGAGAGGAGCGGGTTGAGCTTTCTTCCCCGCCCCGGCCAGGGCTACGGCAGCCGGAGACCTCCAGGACCAGCCACCACCATGCTGAGACCACTCTCCGCACACCTGAAGGTACTGGCAGAGGGACAAAGCCACGCGGGTTCCGGGGCCGAGACCTCCAAGCCTACTCGAATTGGAGTCGAGCATCTTCCACCCAGATCCTCCAAATTCCAGTAGGCGGGGGTCACACCCACCACCTGGCCCCCTGGCGCCGTGTAATCCCATCAGCGGCCAAGACTCAGAGACTATAAAATCCAGATCCCGGACGAGAGCAGTGCAGTCTCTGCCCCCGCGCCTCGGTGTTCCTTCCCGGAGTCCCTTGGAGGGGAGCGGGTTGAGCTTTCCTCCCCGCCCCGGCCAGGGCTACGGCAGCCGGAGACCTCCAGGACCAGCCACCACCATGCTGAGACCACTCTCCGCACACCTGAAGGTACTGGCAGAGGGACAAAGCCACGCGGGTTCCGGGGCCGAGACCTCCAAGCCTACTCGAATTGGAGTCGAGCATCTTCCACCCAGATCCTCCAAATTCCAGTAGGCGGGGGTCACACCCACCACCTGTCCCCCTGGCGCCGTGTAATCCCATCAGCGGCCAAGACTCAGAGACTATAAAATCCAGATCCCGGACGAGAGCAGTGCAGTCTCTGCCCCCGCGCCTCGGTGTTCCTTCCCGGAGTCCCTTGGAGGGGAGCGGGTTGAGCTTTCCTCCCCGCCCCGGCCAGGGCTACGGCAGCCGGAGACCTCCAGGACCAGCCACTACCATGCTGAGACCACTCTCCGCACACCTGAAGGTACTGGCAGAGGGACAAAGCCACGCGGGTTCCGGGGCCGAGACCTCCAAGCCTACTCGAATTGGAGTCGAGCATCTTCCACCCAGATCCTCCAAATTCCAGTAGGCGGGGGTCACACCCACCACCTGGCCCCCTGGCGCCGTGTAATCCCAGCATTCGCGGCCGCGCGACATCTTATTATCTCATTCCTACTTTGGACAAACTTGCAGGCTGTCGAATGTAGCCTGCCCACAGGGCAGAGTCTGGCAAACTCCCCGTGGCCTACCAAATATGCCAAATACCAGTAACAATGATGGGTCTCATTCTCCTAAAGAGCCCTGAATATAATCTCAGGGCTAGGATGAAAGAGACGTTACTGGGGCCTGCTCGAGGCAATCGACGATTAACAGGATGATGAAAATGAAATGAAATCAGATTATCTATGTACTTTCTTGTAGCTTTTTTCAGAATGTGAATAAAACTTTAGATAATGTATCTGGCCTCATGAATCTTCCTGTAACATCTTCTAATGGTTTTATTGTTTTAAAAATCTAAATCTGTATCATTTTATGTGATGTAAGCATTGATTTTAATTTTTATCTGATAAATTTCCATTTGTTTATTTGCTAGAGCAGTGAACCAAATCTTTTCCTCCACATAGTTGAATCATCATAACTTTCACTCCATCCTGAGCATATGTGAACATCTCCGATGCTTTTGTTGACTATTTTTGTTCCATTGAAATATCTATGTCAATACCAATACTACATTGACCTGATTATAGTGATTTCAAAATATGCTCTGGTGTCTAGAGTCTTGTTTTTCTTAACATAATATTTGTTGAGGATGAGGGGAAATTTGGGGACATGCATGCTTCCCTGTGAAATTTATGAAAACATATCCAATAGCAGGTAAAAGTTCTTATAGCAAACTTAATTGGAATTGCATTCAGATTTTTCTCTTCAGACATTATGATTAAAGAGATTTGTTCGTCGAGCAATGAAAATAATCTAGACTATAAAGTGTTGTTTTTTAAATAGAATTGTGAAAAATTAAGAGCATTCCCAACTGATGGGTTAAACTTTAGGCCAGTAACACCTCTGGGTGAAAGCCTGTGAGAACTTTTGAAGAGGTAAGTCTGCTTCTGGTTCATCTTGGCTGGCTGCACATTTTCCCTCAGATGTGCATAAATATTCCTCCCACTAAGAGTTGCTATCATCTGAGTGACAAGAATAGTTCCTGGATTTCAATTATACAATGATCAAATACCCATCCCTCCACCAGTGCCCGTTTTCCACCACCATGAAATCCAAGCACAAAAATTTGTAAGTCTACAACTGTACCTCATGGTGTTTCACTAATAAAAATTTTTAAAAAAGAAGGAAAGTGCAGAGTAAAAAAAAAAGAATAGAAGAATAATTCCTGGAACTCATGATCCTGTTTCACTGATGAAAAGATGTAACATCTCAAGGGAGAAAAGCTCTCCTCTATTGTATCTTTTACTCAGCCCAAAAACTCAGGGAGAAAGTTGCTATAGATCCCTTTGCTAACACTGAGAAATGAAGTTGGAAATTTCCTAAAACGTTGACCAAACTAGGTGCCAGAGGGAAAGTACCACAGACAGGTAAGGTGGTTGCCTTGCTGGATACCTGACCAAACCAGGTTCAATCTCCAGCACCTCATGTAGTCCCCCAAACCCCACATGGAGTAATTCCCGGAGCAGAGCCAGGAGTAAGCCCTGAGCATGCTGGGTGTTGCCCTAAAATAACAACAACAAACAAACATCGACCAATCCAGAGTAGAATGGTATGAAGGATTGTGAATGATTCTGTTTGTCTACTTGGAGAGGACTAATATTTAAAATACGTGTTTACTGAGATGTTTGCAAAAAAGATGAATCTTGGAAAACTGCTGCTACTGAAATGAAACTGTCACTCCTGTTCCTAACAGTGTCTTTTACTGTATCCACAGGGAAATGTGACTTTCTCCTGTCTGTATCCTCAGCCTGTGCCCATAACATTTTTGAGCCCCAGGAGTTACTTGGCTGTTCCAGGCACCCCAGGAAAGGATGAAGTGTCTCTTGCTTTACAGTTTCGGACATGGAACCGAGCAGGACACGTATTTACTAGCGGGTTTCATCATGGGTCCGGAGACCTCAGTCTTTCTCTAAATGATGGAAAACTTCAGCTGAGTCTCTTCCATCCTGTACATCCACTGAGGAGTGTCACAGCAGGTAAAAATGTGCTCCCTAATAGGTGTGTGTTCAAAAGGGAGTGTGGGCACTCTCATCACGTACATTAGGTGGCAATGAGCCACTTCCCCACCCCTACCTCTGACAGCAGCCAACAAACACATAAAGGAGGGAACGGGGCCGCCAAGCTGGTTGGTGATCAGTTGCCATTTATTTCAATCTCTGTCCTGCCATTTATTTCGTTCTCCCCACGCGCCTATTCCAATCTAACTGAGTGCTCCATTCCAGTCTCATGCTGCCCTTCTTTCCTCTCTCCTTCTTTCCCCTGTTAGTCTCCTGGCACTGGTCTCAGTGCCTTAGTCAAGAGCCCAGCCTCCAAAGGTTGGGAATACCAATCACACCTAGGTGAGATAGCACAATCAACATATGTAAAGCTTTCCTTCAGGAAGCTCTTCTAAGACAAAGATCTCCTCCTGCTCGGAGATCAGCTCAAGGATGTGTTTCTCCTTTCCTTAGTCCATATACATTTAAACATTTAAACAGTTATCGATATTAGTCATTTTGTATAGACACAGTAAGAAATGTATTAAGCTTAAAAGATGGATCTCCTGGGGACATCTCGCTATAGATCCCAGACTACAGTTTTCAGGCCAGATTAGTCTGTCCTGAGGGTTTTAACTGCAGGGTCCTTGTCCAGTCACTTCTTTTTGGGTCATGACAGAATTCGTTCACAACCATGCTTGTAAATTATAAGTTTTATGGCACTTATATACCCTGTCCTGTTTTGAAACCAGGGTTGCTTATAGCTTGCCCTGGGTCCATCCAGTCCCTTCATCAGGACCCTGCTTTGGGGTGCTAGGAAGGAAAGGCAACCAAGGCTTAAGTTGAGTTAAATATTACAGATGTCTGGGAGTAAATGTTATTTGGACTCAATTATCTTCCAAGTTACAAAAGCACAGAATTAACTGTCTTCCTGTGTCAACACAGAAAGGACATTGCTGTAAAGTAAACTATGCAAAGGACATAAGGGAAAGAGAAAAGCAATATTTCACTTACAAATACAAAATCCAGAGTCCTTAGCAGGATCTGACCTTACAAGTCACAGGGTTTAATTTGGGGATATAGGTGATTAACAGATAGGGAAGCAGAGCACAGAGAAGAAGTTAAAGATTAACATAGAGGAATGGGAGTGCCTCGGGAGCACTGTGATGGGCGTAACTCAAAAAACCTAAACTCCTTGGCCAAGGGAGAAAGGATGAACCAATGTTATCCTACAAATAGGCATTTGATCTCTGACTGAGCCAAGGTTGGCATCTCTAAAATTAACAAACAATTGAATCCATTAACATTTATAATCACACCAAAAGAAGCTAAATTTTCTTTACCTGTGGTTTACATAACATTATGATGGAAGTTTAGCACAATTATTTTAAAAGTTCAGAAAATAATTTTATTTATAAGGTGAATGATAGTTGTGATATCTTTAAAATAATGAAATGCATTAGCTTAATCCTTGTTAGTTTTGAGAAGACACATTTTTAGCTGTCTTGTGGAATTATACACACATATATTTTAAACAGTTTCAAGTCATAATTTTCCTCTCTCTTGTCATAGCTGGGCTGGAGAGAGTAGGATATTTGCCTTGCACTCAGCCGACCGGGGTTCAATTCCTCCATCCCTCTCAGAGAGTTCGGCAAGCTACTGAGAGTATACCGCCCACACGCCAATGCCTGGAAAGCTACCCATGGCGAATTTGATATGCCAAACACAGTAACAACAAGTCTCACAATGGAGACGTTACTGGTGCCCGCTCCAGCAAATTGATGAACAACCGAAGATAGTGCTTCAGTGCTACAGTGCTTGTCAGAGTTGCTATTTCCCTTTGGGGGGCTGCTGGTTTTGGATGTATTTTTGTACCTATGGGTGGATATTTGACTATTTTCCAAGGAGAATCCATTTGTGTGTAGAATAACTTCTAAAGTTATGACATTATTGAACTTTGGGGATTATCTTGCATTTTAAAGTCCATTAATATGTAAATCTAGGCACACTCATGACATGTTATTTCACAAATGTTAAATGTGAAAGTAATATATTACGTGGCCATAGTCATGGGTTCTATATTTAAATAGTAGAATTTAAATTTTTCTTTTTTATATGAAAAAATCTGATTATGTGAAGTTCCTTTTAGACCCTAGGAATGGAATTGAGTTGACTGAGATTCAGTAAATTAAGTCTTGGTTTGTGTAAATTCGAAATTCTCATGCAATATGATCTGAATACGATAGATTTTACTGATTCTCATGGGTAAACAACACCTATTCTCTCATTACATATCATATTAATGGAATTTTCTGAAAGCTGAGAGTGGAGCTTTGCAAAAATGTTTTATTGTTCCAATTTTTAAGCATTTACACTTCAACATGTGTTATTTTTTTATGAAAGAACCAAGGACAAATTTTTATTGATACTTACCTTTGCAGTTAAGTACATTTAAAGAAAATTTACAAAAAATAACACCAGCACTTTTTCTTAAATCTCCAGCGTATTTTTTCTCAATCCATATTTTCTCCCAATTCTTACAATTTCTTTCCCTCTGATAACCACAGTTTGTGTCAAAGTGCATCAGTTTGTATATTTTTTAATTTTATGATTTTTACGTTAAAAAACATGATTTACAAAGTTATTGATAGTTGAGTGGCTTGTCCATTCATTTTATTTAATCATTGTATCACTGTATCAGTCATCCAGTTGTTCATCGATTTACTCAAGCGGGCACCAGTAATACCTCCATTCATCCTAGGTCTGAGATTTTAGCAGCCTCTCCTTACTCGTCTTTCCCAACGTATTGGAGGCTCTTTCAGGGTCAGGGGAATGAGACCCATTATTGTTACTGTTTTTGGCATATCGAATACTCCATGGCTAGATTGCCAGGCTCTGCTGTGTGGGCGGGATTCTCTCAGTAGTTTCCCGGGCTCGCCGAGAGGCATATATATATATATATATATATATATATATATATATATATTTCTCTATGATTTGTTGCCTACTGTCTGAACCCAATCCAATATAGTGTGGTAATTATGGGAAATGTCTAGGAGTATGTTCACTCGGCTGTGAAGCTCAGCCCAAGCATGTGGAAAATGACCTGGAGCATGGTGGTGGTTGGGTCGTGGAGTTCGACTGCCGGGGCTGAGTCCCTTATTTCCTTTATAAGTTTTATTATTCTGTTTGCCTTTCTTCTGATGTATTCCCATCTTCAGTGGTGACTTTCACTGTCTTTAATTTTTTGATTGTTTTTTGGGTCACAAACTGTGCCAGGGATCAAACCCAGGTCAGCTGCATGCAAGATAAAGACCTTTCCTGTTGTACTATTACTCCAGGCCACTTTAATGGATGTAGTTAGATGTAGTTATTATGCTGCAGATATGCTTTACCACCTTTAAGAAAGATAGCTGAATTGTCAGACAGGAAGAAGCATTTAGGGATTTTTTTTTGTTCTCTGAGTTATAGAGGACTTTATTTTAGGATCAATTTCTTCATGTTTTAATTAGATTTTTTCGTTGCCTTTCATGATAATAAATTTTGAGTCTGAGAACATTTCTGTTTTCACAAATATGAAACAAAACCTACTGATAATAGAAGAGTTCACTTGATCACTTGATATCCCGTTACTCATTGATCTGCTCGAGTGAGCACCAGCAATGTCTCCATTCATCCCTGTCATGTGCTAAGTAGCCCAACGGCATCTGCTAATTCTAGGAACATGAAGAGCCTCAAACTGATCGTTCACGGTCTTGATGAAGAAGTCTGACCATCTCAGAGGTGGGTGGCCACACGATCTTTTGACATCCCTTGGAATCAAGTCGGCACTGGACTAGTGGTTGCCTCCAAATCTCATTACGTATCCAGCCCATCTCATTTTCGATGCCTTGGCAAAGGAGACAGCATCCCTGATTCTTGACTGTCCACGAAGGTCGGAACTCCAATTCTCTCATTTGAGTGAAGCATGATACTGCAAGCATAACTCTTTAAATTCCTCTTTGAGAGACACAAATAGAGTTCTCATCCTGCTTTCGTAGGGCCCAGGTCTCTGAGGTGTATGTTATTGCAGGAAGAACAGTGGAATCGAAGAGATGTGCCTGGAGCTGGAGGTTCTTTGTCCATTTAGCTATTTCTTCGACATTCTTGAAGGCGTTCCAAGCCACTCTCTTCCTCCTGCACAACTCAGGTGCCAGGTTGTTCGACATGTTGACTTCTCGACCTAGGTACACATAACTGTTGCATTTGGAGATGTTCGTCCGGAATTTGGTATGTGGGCAGGTAGACATTGACAGTGAATGGAACGTCAGGAAGGAGACCATTTCTCATAAACATTGTCTTCATTAGATTCAGCTATAGTCCGACCTTTCCACTCTCACGGTTGAAGTTGGCCAGCATTTGTGCCGTTTGGCTGATGTCTGGTGTTATAAGAATGATGTCATCAAAGAAGTGGCGGTGGTGTAGTTGCAGACCATCTATCTTCACTCCCATTCCTTCCCATTCCAGTTGTTGCATGTAGTACTCGAGGGTGGCACTGAAGAGTTTCGGTGAAATGGTATCACCCTGCCGAACCTCTCTCTTGACGTCAATGATCACCTTCCTCTAGATTGTGAGATCCTGGTAGTGAATCCACAATACAGCTCATGGAGGATCCTGCTGTATTGACTTTGAACGCCCTGTTTGACTGGGACTTGAGGACTGTTTCTGTCTCTACAGAATCAAAGGCCTTCTTTAAATTGGTGAATGTGAGAAAGAGTTAAACTCCCGAGAAACCTCAGTGAGCTTGGTTATCATGTGGATATGGTTGATTGTGCTAAATCCTTTTCGAAAATTGGCTTGTTCGCATGGTTGTCCTTCATCTAGCGTTCTGCCAATCCTATTCAGGATAACTCGAGCGAACAGCTTGTAGACGACAGACAACAGACAGATTAGGTGGTAGTTGCCAATGTTGTGGATGTCTTCCTTCTTGTACAGTAGTACAGTCCTGCTGTTTTTCCACT